CATCTCAGTCTCCTGTGATATGGCGGCATTAGCCACCTCCCGCACTGAATGAAATCTCCTAGATACAAGATACCAATATAAACTCGGGTGAAGCCCCATCAAGAACATCTGAGCCTGCCGCTCTCCAGTCTGCCACATGCCCGTGAATCTGAGTAATCCTATGAACATACTCTCATAATCCATCACCGACATATCTCCCTGCTCTAGCTGTGCTAGCTCCAACTCATTCCCAGCTTTCGTTGCTGCTGACACATACTGCTCATCAAAGAAATAAGCGAAATCCTCCCAAGTAAGCATCATCCTCTACTCTGGGCTAAACTGAATATGATACCAACCCCATGCGTTGTCCTTGAGGCTGAAAGCTGCTAACCTCTGCTTATGCACAGTGTCCACATTAAGCATATCTAAGATGTTACTCACATCTTCCTTCCACTTTTGTGCTGTAAGAGAATCTGACGTGCCATGAAACTCCGGTGCTCTTATATTCTAGTACCTCTCTACCAAACGAAGCCAAGCCTCCTACTTAGTGGCTCCATCAAGAACTAGTGGTGGTGGTGTAACTATGGGTGTCTCCTCCTCACTAGGTATCTTATGTTGGACCTGATTTGCCATCTACTCCTCTATTGGCACTAACCGGGCTGCCAAAGGTGCTATGAGATCAACTAGATACTGCGGAGCCTGCTGCGGCTGGGGCTCTACATTAACTTGCCCAGCTCCCTCTGAGCATGGGTACCTCTACGACCTCGTGCTCTTCCCGACATCTATAAGTTCAAGGGTTGAGCTTGCCAAACACAGTAAATGAGATCTCAAGCATAACAACAAAACATATATCAATAGGAAAATAGTATCACTTATCATTCACAATATGCTTTATAATTCAAGCAAGATAGTCATCATAAAAAAAATTCGTAATTTTCGCGTACATATATATAACGTCCTCACTCATTCTAGGAATTCCTAGCAAATTCTATACGTGATTTCTAGGAAACTCTATCCTAGCTCCACAACTTGACACATGAATGATCCTAAAAATGCTAGAACTAGAGCTCTGATACTAACTGTGATGTCCCTGGGTTCACACAAGGCTACAGTCCAAGGTGAATCCAAGAATATCAAACCTGCCATACACCAACACCGTCCAACAACACGTTTCACCATCATAGTTACTATCTCTCTAGTGGGAATAAACAACAGGTGTAGGTACAAAACAGGCAAAAGAATAATAAAGTAGTACAATGAGCAAGATGAGTATAGAAGAGATGTACAAATAACCATCATCAGGGCCGAACTAAAATAGAATAAAATATCTTTGAAACTAGAACAAATGTAATATGTCTCAATACAAAGAGTCAAGTGAAATCCTACTACGGTACTCAGTCTTTACAAAATAAAAATACAAACTCTAATGTCTACTGATAAACATCTACTATGGAGCTATAAAAATAACTATAAATATAATATAATAGATAGAAGCTACTATGCATCTCCATCAACCTGCGACTCTCCGTGCACCTGACTCGCTGCCTGAAGGGGAGAAACTGAAGATGATACCATCCCCCTGCGTCGCCCTTGAGGTTGAAAGCTGCTAGCCTCTGCTTCTGTACAGTGTCCACATTAAGCATATCTAAGATGTTACTCACATCTTCCTTCCACTTGTGTGCTGCAATAGAATCTGGAGCACCCTGAAACTCCGATGCTCTCATCTTCTGGTACCTCTCTACCAGACGAAGCCATGTCTCCTGCTCAACGACTCTCTCGATAACTGGTGGTTGTGGTATAGCTATCTCTGGTGTTTCCTCTTTAATAGGTATCTCCTGCTAGACCTGAAACTCTGGTGTTTCCTCTTTAATAGGTGTTTCCTCTTTAATAGGTATCTCCTGCTAGACCTGATGCGCCATCCGCTCCTCAATCGCCTTTGAGGCTGAAAGATGCTAGCCTCTGCTTCTGCACAATATCCATATTAAGCATATCTAAGATGTTACTCACATCTTCCTTCCACTTGTGTGCTGTAATAGAATCTGGCGCACCCTGAAACTCCGGTGCTCTCATCTTCTGGTACCTCTCTACCAGACGAAGCCATGTCTCCTGCTCAATGACTCTCTTGATAACTGGTGGTGGTGGTGTAGCTATCGGTGTTGCCTCTGGTGTTTCCTCTTGAATAGGTATCTCCTGCTAGACCGGATGCACCATCCGCTCCTCAATCGTCGCTAACCGGGCTGCCAAAGGTGCTATGAGATCAACTAACTACTACGGAGCCTATTGTGGCTCGTGCTCTGCATCATCTTGCCTAGTTTTCTGAGCACAGGTACCTCTGTGACCGCGTCCTCTTCCCGACATCTATAAGTTTAGGAGTAGAGCTTGTTAACACAGTAGATAGGATCCCAAGCATAAGAATAAAATATATATTAATAGGAAAATCGTATCACTTATTTATCACCGCAGGCTTTATAATTCAAAGCAAATAGTCATCATAATTTTTTTTTGATATTTTCGCGTATATACATATACGTCCTCACTCATTCTAGGAATTTCTTGTGGACTCTATACATAATTCCTAGGAAACTCTATCCTAGCTCCATAATATGACACATGAATGATCCTAAGGATACTGGAACTAGAGCTCTGATACCAACTGTGACGCCCAAGTGTTCACACAAGGCTGCAGTCCAAAGTGAATCCCATAATGTCAAACTTGCCATGCACTATTACCATGCAACAACATGTTTTACCACCACAATACTATCTCTCTAGTGGAATCAACAACAGATGTATGTACAAAATAGTTTAAAGAATAATGAGGTAGGACAATAAACAGAATAAACACAGAAGAAGGGTATAGATAAACATCATCAGGTCCCAGTAGAAATAGAATAATATAACTCTGAATCTGGAATAAATGTAATATGTATCAACACAAGAGTCAAATGAAATGTCACGAAGGTACTCAGCCTCTACAAAATAAAAATACAAACTCTAATGTCTGAAAACTAAATAACTAATGTGGAGATATGAAATAACTACTAGTATAATAAAATAAATTGAGCCTAAGGTGTAACTCCATCAACCAGCGACTCTCCTGCGCCAGACTTGTTGCTTGAAAGGGGGGAAAGCAACGAGCATCAAAACGCTAGCGAGATCATCTCCACCACCCCCAGGGAGAAGGGGTAGGTGTATATAAGAAAATACTGTTAGTACATATAGATATAAAATTATTCATATAACTCTAAGTGGAAATTGATATTTAGAAACCCACAACATAAGAATTAGTACGTCGAGCAAAATAATCCAAACAAGGAAACCCTCATATATATACAATGTCTCAAATTGTGAATCGGTAAATACCAATTCCAATCCTATGAATGAAAAATAGTACATAAAGAAAAATGCTACAACTCCAAATCTCAACCATATAGAGTCAATGTAACAATCTCGAACTACCCTTAGGTAGTCGACGCAGTCATAATGAAATATCATCCAACATTAACATCCCCATAGACCATACCATGTATGCCAAGTATCTGATATGTACCCTACTCTCGGGTAACTAACATGGGAGCAAACTATAACTTTATACATATATGTCTTCATGAAATAACGATACTTTTGTAACGTTCTCATAATATCATGTGGATTCAACGTCCTTGCTCAATCGTTCTGTGGCAATAGATATATCTTCCTATTCCGAATGATATATCCAGATGATCGTATAGCGGTTATAGGCGTATCAGCCCAATCTAGAAAAACCCCAATCATCTTTGAGTATTGGTACAACCGCGGTCTCATTGCGGGAAAATATCTAATACTCCTAGTGTGGTACAATCGTGGTCTCATTGCGGGAAAAAATCCACATCGCACAACCATAACTAATAAATTATGCATGATCATGAGTCATACCAACAACTACCAACTTAGACATGTATTACGCA